TTTATATTTCTTCTCGGCTCCTCACTCCTACCTCTTCTACCGTCTACATCCTTTGGGACGTGCTCAGATAACATCATCGTCACTCCGTCCTCTCCTCGGTCTCTCAGAATCGCGACTACGATATACTTCACGACACTGTACACCCTCTCGTTCCTACCTTTTCTGCTCCTCCCTTCAGCGCCGGCAACCGTCTGCCTCGTCTCCTCATCTTCTGGTACCTTTGGCGTCAGATGATGTAGCTAGTCATTATGGTGGGCGTTCCCTGCTCCCCTCGGTGCTCTGTTCTTTTTTTCTTTACCTTGTTTATAATCCGGCTCCGTTCCTATACTCAGCCTTCAGGTAGCGTCGCGACTTTCACTCTTTCTGGCTTCTTTTCGCCCTTCTACACTGTAAAGTTTCAGCAATCTTTCTCGTTCGTGCTCTATCGACTCTTTCTTCCTCTTGTCGCCGTCTGCGAATTCGCCCTTACAAATCGTGGCCACTCCCTCCATCTTCAATGTAATTACTATTATATTCCGTTCAGCGCGTAGTTTACTTTGCTTTCCGAGAGACAGCTTCCGCATTCCAACAACTTTGGTCTCTCTATCCTCCTCTCGCCTACTCGTTCTTCTCTCTCGTCTTTCTTCATCTCTTCTCTTGCTTCATCTTTCTATCTCTCTTCTCTTCTTCCTCATACTCTCTCGTCACTGCTCTCCTTTATGATCACCCTCCGGACTTTCTCATTTTCCCAGGCACACATTAATCCGGCGAAATGAGTACCGAGCAGTTTATAAGAGCTTCTGGTAGAGGAACGGTGGTAAAATAACATGCTGGCGGGTAATGACCATAACATTGAGAACCGATAAGATTTTATTCAACGCTAATGTAACGAACACACGATTAGAATTAGGTACATAAAATGCTATTAAAACATACAGAAAGAACAGCAATCGCCTGTAGAAAACAGCTAAGCTTCAATGATTCTATTAAATCTGGGCTTTCCTTTTTATCAATATGATCGTATTTGTCTTGTGTCATGTTAGCGTGTACTTTAATGTGTTCTGCGTGTCTCCTTTTATTTTTCTCGGCAAGAAGGATGAAGGAGACTGGAAGAGAGGAGGGAACGTAAAGACGGATTGATAAGAGGGAAAGAAGAAGGGAGACAGAATGGCGAGTTGCAAGGGGTTAGGGTGAAAGAGTATTTGAATGCTTATGGGACGCCTGCTGAATACACATATGCCACCATTGTGCGGCCTGATTTATTCGACTTTAGTTATTGGGCTGATCTTCCGAACATGGGATGGGAACACTGGCATCAGAATGAAATAATTTTAAATGGTAAAATAGTGAGAGAGTTGAATGATGTCCGGTAGAGAGTTTGTCTCCGCTCGCAGCTGCAGGTTACTTAGGGTGGATAATGGAAGAACTTTTTTTTTGTCTTTTTTAGGTAGTTCTTGTTTTCACTTCGTTTATTCTTCTTTGGAGGATAGCGCCAGATTAGATTTTGCCTAGAGAGCATTTTTTTTATGTACACCGTGGTTTAAGGGATTTGTTTTTATTATTAGGTATTATTTCTAATACGCTAGAGGATAATTATTGATAGTCTGGCCGTTGTCTTTATAGCTTCAAAACGTAGATCACGTTGGTCTGTACACACTTATACCCCTTTTTCAGACGCCATGAGGAACAATATAAAGTATTTCCATTAAGGAGTACTGTCACTGTTATGGCCGGTATATTAATATCTTTTTCTTATTGTCGATTAATTTTCCTATTATGTTCTATGTAGAGCGGTGAGTCAGCGGGTCGAGAGACGAGCGGTAACAGAAGTGGAAGTCAGTGCTGAATCAACTAGACTTCTGCAAGTGTGTCTATTTTAGCTATATATGAAAGTGCAGTGGCTATTATTAGAAAAGGTTTAATGAGGACTTTGCATAAGAAATATATATATTGTGTATATTTTTCACGGTGTCTGGGGGCTAACAATTCTCGTATGTTTGCGCACGGAGGCAAGTGGTCTTGCAATAGTTCAGTGGTGCAATTATCATTTACATTTATATTCTCCTTCTCTCCGTATTAGCTTAACAGATTAGATGATAGCCACATCTATTCGATTTTCTTGCCGAATCATCTAGTGACCGAATCCATCAATTGTGCGTTATGGAAGGGAGAGTATTATTCGATTCATTGCTTAACGTATATTATTTTAGTCTTGTTCCTCCGAATACGCCAACAATTACTACTTTGGCAAAAATACGTGTGGTAAAGAACTCTTTTTTGAATGCGTGAGAGAAATTTGTTAACGTCTATAAATGCGTGGCTAACGACGGCACATTTTGCCGCGACATTTATTTGGTCGTTTCAAAACCATTTCGCGATATCTGTTACGTCACCGACCCATAAGTATCTCTTCGGTCACCCTTAATGTTTTCCGGACTGCAGGAAACATCCGCTGGTGTATGCTATGAATTCATATCCCGCAGATCTGTTGGATCGTTTGTCATCCCCTCGGTGGGGCCGCAGGCTGAGGGGAACGGCGCTCCCTGATTGGAGGAGCGCGAGTTGGGCGGGGACCACGTGACCGCGCCGATCAGCTGATTCTTGGCGACTGGTGCACGTGGGGCCGTCCTGAGTGCCCGCGGCCCTCGGCGCCCGCAATCAATTCGCGGCCGGGCTGCCATTATACCGGCCGAAGCGGGAGACAGATAGGTAGTAATAAGCCGGACGTCACACGCGTGCGTCTAAGTTGAAGTAAAGAACCAAGTGGATAAATAATCACGATTAAAAAGTTCACTCAATGGATATTCACTCTTAATCAAAGCTGGTAATACGTAACCAAATTCACCGGAATTCCAGCAATTGCAAGTAATGACGTCTAATGCCACAAGACGAAGGGGTTAGCTTGGATTGCCAGAAAGGCCATTAGTATGGGCCACGCTTGATAAACGGTTTGCATTTTTTCCCAACCATATGATCAAATAACCAAGAAGAAGAAGAGGGAGAAACATGCATGCAGAGCTAGCAATGCGATCGCGCTCAGACAGGCCTTGCTCTCATGTACTAAAGGCCAGACAGTGGCTAGACGTATGTAAAGAGCGTTGGCCGCGCAGCCAGTCACTGTCCCTCAGTGCCTCGCCCCAGCAACACTCGCATCAAATTGAAACCGTTTCTGATGATGATGGGCGATAAAACACGACGTGCGGCGCTTTCGGCGTGGGCGGATCCCGCGACGAAGGGGTCTGATGAGGCTCCCCGTCGCAAGAGCTCAGAACGGACGATGGAGAGCAGGGCCGCGCAGCGCCCATCGCGGCGAACTGCTTTAGAGGAGGAATCGAGGAAATCGGACGCGATGTGTTTTTTCTCTCTGGAGCGAGAAAGGCATGTAACGAATTTACACCGGGGGGTCGTTCGTCGCGCCTGGCGGAGTGCGACCCCTCAAGAACATGCGGGGTCGTCGAGAGTCGGGAAGGGTGGGCGGTTACAACACCACCTAGCCTCAGCCTCGACGCGGTGCCTCTTTCCAGTGTCTTCGATTAGGGGTCTTGTTGCCAGGAGGGACAGGTTGGAAGGAAAAGGGGCGCTAATGGTGTGTGGTGAGAGGGAGGGAGAGGGAGTTAGCGCCGTTGGAATATTTGAGGTGCATGGTGCAATCTCTCTCTCTCTCTCTCTCACTCTCTTTCTGTGCGCGCGCGCGTGTGTCTTGTCTGTGTTTTCTCTCCTCTTCTTCCTTCCTCCTCCCTCCTCCCTCCTCCCTATTCCCTCCCTCTCTTCCCTATTTTCTCTTTCCTTCTCTCCTTCCCCATTATTCTCTTTCCTCTCTCCCCCTATTCTTCTTCCTTCATTCCCCCTTTCTCCCAACTCTGCCTCATTCTTGTTATCCATCCTTCTCCCTCTCCCTCTTCTGCTTTCACTCTCGCCATATTACTTATCCCTTCCATCGCAAGTGATCCCTTTCCGCTGCATCTCTTCTCCATGCTGCCAGTGCAACCCCCCCCACGCGATCCCTCGTCGTTTGTAACACCGCAGCCACGATTACCCAATCACGTTCCTCACCGATAGGAATTTAATTACCTTAATATCCTCATCGTTGCCAATTATAATGAACCCGACGACCCGATCGCAGATGATAAGGCCCCATGAACGCGGGACCGCATGCGATCGCGCCTGGAAGTAGACCGTCGGCGGCGCTGGATTTCGTTGGGAACTTCGGGCGGAGGCTAAGGGCGTTGTTTCGGCGAGTTCGCGGGCCGGGGGCGAGGAAGGGGTAGAAGCAGGCGAAGAGATGAGGAAGGAGAGTTCTGGAACGCGTGGCGGGGGCGTGAGTGGGAGTGGAAATGAACGCGCGTGGCAGCGGGAGATGCCTGTTGGTGCGTGGGAGAAGGCGAGCGGGGAAATTTGTATCTGGTAAAGATGTGTGTGTGCTTGTGGGCTTAAAGGAAGCGGAAGAGGAGGAGGGCGAGGGAGAAAAGGGGTGGGAGGAGGAGGAGGGAAGAAGACTGAGGAGAGAGAAGGAAAGTGAGAGAGTGGAAGGGGAGTGAAGAGGAGAGAAAGAATGAAGGGGGGAAGAGAGAGAGAAGAGAGAGAAGAGAGAGAGAGAGAGAGAGAGAGGAGAGAGAGAGAGAGAGAGAGAGAGAGAGAGAGAGAGAGAGAGAGAGAGAGAAGAAGAGAAGAAAGAAAGAGATAAAGAAATGGAAAGAGAGTGACAGCAAAGAAAAACTGGAGTGAAAAGAGCAGAGAGAGAGAGAGAGAGAGAGAGAGTGGGCGGGTGCCGGATGAGATGTGTAATAGGAGCGTGAGTAAGTGAATGACTGGGTGGAGAGTGAAGTGAAAGAGTAGAGAGAGAAGCAGAAGAAAAGCGGGAATTGGCAGCAAAAGAAACAGCCCGATGGATGGATCGGATCCTCTGATGTATAGACAGACAGACGAAACAGAATAGACAGCGAAACAGACTTTGCAAACTACAGTAGACCGGTAGGCAGCAACAGACAGACACTCAGACGAGCAGGTAAAAAAGCAGGTTA